CCTCGCCCGCCGCCGCGGCAAGCGCCATCCCGCCACCTAGGGTCCGCGCCGCTCCGCAGCAGGGCGCCCCTCCCCCCGACCGCAGTCGCGACGGGGGCTGCCTAGCCCGACCTCGGGCTGGCGGACACCAAGCCAGGGACTGCGCGGGTGGCGCCCGGGCTGCCGGCCGGGTGCCAAGCCCGAGCGCCCCGCGCCGCGCGGCAGGGCGCGCGGCCCGCCCCGCACACCGAGCGCCCCCCGGCGGCGGCGACGAGTCCCGCTTCTTCCACTGATGGGTTTTTCACGACTCTTCTGCCATCAGACGTTCATCATCTGGGTCTTTCGACTTATCAGAAGATGACACCGGCCAAAGGTTAATGTCCGCTGATTTCGCGCCCCAAGGTCTAATGGGATGCCGGGACAATGAATTGTAAGGTTAAGAGAAGAAAAGATTAAATGAACCTCAGGGGAAATCTAAAACATTTTATGTGACCATGTCACTACATCTGATGAGGAATTGTGGACAACTCGGTCGGTTCAACTTTATCATATTCGGATAAATAACTGTGGTCAAGTTACACAGACTGTCAAGCGCACCGCACCTGTGTGGTTCCTAACAGTTTAGTGTCCAGTTATTCGGTTCATTGGGTGGGAATTGATGAACTTAATCTATAATAATTTATGCTACCGCCTACTTCTTTTAATCCATGCGATCGAAGATTGCTTACATTCAAGCACAGTGGAAGCATAAAACGCCCTTCAGAAAGATAAATAGAATACCTGAATACCTAATGTTCGCAAGTCTCTTGATGCCTTTTACAATGAGTTACACTAGTTCAGCTTACACTTCTATACAAATAACCTTTTGACTTCTGACCGACTATTTTGTAATTTATCACATGATCTGGCCATACATACCATCAATGCCTGTAGAAACACTAAGATTAACAAAGGTAGGGAACGTGGAGGCGCCGAAGTTAGTGTCTATAAACCTTAGAGCTCTTGTTACACGAGATTTCGGCACAAGAAGAAATTACTGCAAACGATAAGAACAGGAATTAACGAATTGCATCATGAAATCCCATGGCAAGAATGCTAAAGTATTAAACATTTGATCACACATTATAGTATTTCTTGGCCTGCTGTGTAGTAATTTGGACTTACCAAAATGTTGCACTCAAACTAGAGAACAACCAATTGAATAACTGATATTTTCCCAACAAGTTTGGACACAAAGTTGGGAAGCTCGTCCGTGCAAAATTACGGGGAAACAAGGGAACAATGGTTTAGTACGAGTAAACAAAGTAATCGTTAACATGTCTCGTAGCATGGAATGCATTTAGTAAAGATTAAATGGTGAAAAAACTAAAATCGGTTTGATGGACTCACCACAGTTTCATAATTGAGACATACATAAACAGCTCAGATATTCACTTCATAATACGTAGAAATCCAGTTGGTTAGAAGTTTATAAACATACTGCTTCGTTGCGTAATGTAGCCTCCAGCTAACATGTCATAGTGAAATGCGAATGGGACAATGCTTCGCCAAATCATTTTTAAGCATCGATAGGTTAGACAGCGTTCAACACCTGACACACTCGAGTGAAAATAAATTTCGACGGTATTTCAGCCGGCTATAATGTATAGCCAGCTGTAACTAATGACTTCTTAGTTTGGTGTTGTGGCTCAGGTCCAGCATCGGACGGCCAACGTGATACTGATGCTTCAGGATTTGGTACATCATTACGATGTCCTACTTCAAGTGCCGATATCGACCGCTGTATCTCCCTGCGGAATTCAATCCAAGCTGGTAGATTAGAGGCAAGAGGACCATAACGTTTTTGTATGAACCTCGTTGAGGAGTCTTAGAGAAGGAGCTCGTTTCTGTCACGGGTGCCACACGTAGACAGCGTGTTTCACGTGCGGTTCCACATAGGTGTTAAGCATTTGTAGGAAAAATGAGGAGCCAAACCGATCAAACACTCTATGAAGAAAGTAGAAATTTTGATTACCGGAACTGGACGCATTGTCGGATTGTTCCGAGTAGCCGAGATCGCCGTAGACCAGTATCTCAAGGTCACGCTTGCGATAAGCCTTCAGTTAGGTTTGGTCCCCAAGCTTGTACACAGTCACCGATTAATGACGCTGGTGAATCACCTCGCACTTAGATGTGCTGAACTGGAGTAGGTTCCTTTTGAATCGCTCATGAATTCAGAGGTCAAGTTGGCGAAAATCGTGATCTTCCTTGCTATCAATGGCTCGCCGTGTCTGGTCGTCATAGGTGAAAAGAGCCAAATTATTGTAGGTAACTCTTACCAATTCGTTTATAAGCCACGAGCAAATGTGCGGTCCTAGAACCGAGCCCTGCCAATGACCGCATTCCATCTCAATCGTGTTGGCGTGTGATCCCGAACACATACTTGGCTAAGAAAGACATCCATCCACTCACGAAAACGATCCCAGATTCCATATCCCTATTGCCTGTGTAGTAACTAATTTAGACCAAATTTCCAAGGTTTTTCCGCTAGAACTAAGGTAACACATTTTTGCTGCTTCTTTCACCATGAGTTTTGTTCCAGCACCGCCTCAGATTAGATGATTGTCGGAAGTCGTCAAGTTTCATGCGGGCAGACTTTTGCAGAAGAGAGAAAAAGAAAATGATTATGTAGGAAAGAAACCATTAACACAAGCAAGTATAATTAATGAGCATTGTACATTGGTTTATGACAATTGTATTCACAGCAGCCAGAGCTCGTATGCTAATTTCACCGGCATCCGGTTGAGCGGAGAATTTTCTTCCTTATAAACTGCTTAAATGATTTGTTAGTAAAAAAACGTTAAAAGTTCTACCTTCCCATATATCCCTATCTTGTAGGTACCCATAGGTCTTTCATCTACCTGGTACGCGGGAAAAAGCCCAGCAGGAGTACTAAAAGTGAAGGCAGATTTATCCGATCTACCGATATATGCAGGAATAACAAAGGCCACCAGGTAGTCATTCAGAGAGGTGACAGCGAAAAACGTAGAATAGAAAGGAAGAATCAAAGCTAAATCCAACTTAACCAAACTATCGATGTGCCTATGTTTCCAAAGACCATCCGTGAGTCATCAGTTGGAGCTAGGATGAAGGATGCGACAAGGTCATCCTCGTCAGTACATGTTAGCTGAGGGTGAGAAACGCACCTCAGCTAATGTGCCACAATACAAAAAGATAAGAGACTAAAAACTTACACTACAAACGTACGAGGTTATAAAATTTATTATGCCTTTGCATGAGACCGGGATAACAGGGGAAAACCTAAAGGGAGGGCATGGACAAAAAAACTCACAACACAAACACCATTGAGGCCGGCTCTTCGGCATATCAGCGTGTATCCAACCAAACATCTTCATCGTCCTTAGGACCCCAGCCAGGCCGTTGGGCTGCACCAACCGACGCCAACTTCGAAGTGAGGGTTTCCAGTCCTCTCGACCAAGTCATCACGTGGCCATCCGTCCTGCTCTTTTAAGCGCATGCCCGGCGCGCAAACAATGCACGTCCCGTGAGGTGTGTTGACATACGCAACACATGGCCCAGCCATCAGAGCCTTGTGCGTGATATAATGGTGCTGAGCTTTTTACTCGCTTTTCCTGCACAAAATACGCAACGCCGAGCACGCTCATTGCTCACGAGATGCTCCCACCAGACACGAGCTAAGATGCGAAGGCAGCGATGATCGAAGGTGACCAGCCTTTATGTCCGTTAACCTGATGGGCCAGGTTTCACAATCGTATAAAAGGGTTGAACGGTTGGTTGCATTATACACTCTAACCTTCAGGCCGAGAGTGATGTCGCGTCTACTCCACAGGTGGCAACGATTGGCAAAAGCACTTCGAACTTTTGCTTACGGTTCATAGCCTCATCTTTAATCTCACTGATGCTAATATAGTTGTCCAGGTACTTGAATTCCTGAACGACTTCTAGCTGATGACCACAAAGCGTTGGCGCAGAGGTGGGTCTCTGCCACTGTGAGAGAGTAGAAGGGAGGAAAGAAAGTGAAGTTAATTTCACAAAAATAAATTATAGTTAAAGTCCCTTGAAGTCACAAGTTGTATCGACAAACTGTCCTCCCATCTTTAACCTTACATATGCATTATACTTCTAGCGAGCGCTTATATAATAGCAGTCGCCTTCTCATGCAACCATTCATCCGTGCAACTAGCTTAAAAGAGGCCTTAAAGGTTTTTAACCGGTAACCACTCCCTTAGTAGCATCGCTAACGCTCTCCATTTTGAGCTAATCTTCCTCTGAACAAAGTGGGTAAAATTAAATTCCCTCCGCCTTAGATGCACATTAGTTACAGAAATGGATCAAAAAAGCAGTTGTAGAAAGCATGGCTACATATTTTCCAGTTAACTGATCACTTGCTTGCAACTCGAATCCGTATTCACATTGTCAATTGACAGAACGTGCCTAGGGATATATTAAGAAAATGGTACGGTTGCCGAACTTCGTGCTCCTGTGCGACCAGAGTCTGCACACGTTTCATACTAAGCAAATGACAATCTGACCATCTTCAGAGTCCGCACTGAGTGTGGTACTTAGTGACCACACCGAAATGCCGGTCGTTTTTCGAACGGACGAGATGAACGAATTTGTGCCGATAGTCAAAAAGAATTCGTCTGTCTCAGATGCGAACGGAAGAATAGAAAGCAATAGATTTGGTCAGAGAACGAAGCTCGAGCGCTGGTCAAGAAAGCAAATTAAGAGGATACGCACCACGTTTGTGTGTGGTTTTAATTGACGCCGCATCTAAACTGAGCTTGTGTTCTTGGAATTACGGAATTTTGTTCGAAGCAGAGGCTTCGATTTCGATTTCTTGAGGGATACTTCGACAATGGTCTTATTACTATGTATTATGCTCCGTTTTGAAGAAATATCAGCCGGTTTAGTACCAAGTAGGAGTGAACAAGAGAATTCGTTCAAACAAGCCACGGTGGTTTTCGTTAAAGGCTAATCAACTTGTATTTTTGGCATTT